ATACTTTAAGGATAATCGGTGTTTTTTTTTTGACAAAATCAGAGTTGTATTTGAAATTATCTCGATTTAGCATATGATTTAGAGAAAATGGAAATATATAGCGGATTTTATTTTGTATGGTAAATAGAGGTAAATTGAGTTCGATTTTACAATTACATCGAGATAATGCACTTTATCACGATAAGAGCTCTAGTCTAAACGCGGCTTAGTGGATTTTATTTTGTATGGTAATAGTACGTTTATATTTAACCGGATTTCTTTAACCCAGTGGGTTTCAATTGTCAATTCCTTTGCATATACGTCAAATAAATCCTCATAAAGTAGGTTGACCCGGTAAAAAATTTCTAATGTACAAGGAGTTTAAATCGAGGTAAATTTAGCTCGATTTAGCAAATAAATCGAGATAATGCACTTTATCGTGGTAAAAGCTATAGTCTAAATTCACCTTTACATTTGATTTATATTTTTATAATAATAGACGTCACAGCTTGGATTTCAAAAAATGTTTAATTAAAAATTACTTCAAATGATGCCAGTATCAAAGAAAAAGTTCGTACATATTTCCACTCAATATTTTTTATAAGAAAACAAAAAAAAATTAATTAATGAAAATATTTTCTATGGTCATGTGATTTTGATTTCTGTTTTTGTTTTGTTTTTACTATTAAGTTTGATTTAAGTTTCTTGCATTATAAATCACAGATGTTGTTGTTATTGTTGCTATTATGTGTTCATATATGGTTGGTTATTGATTATTTATAAAAAAATATATATTGGCTGTTTGGTCATTTAAAACTTAACTATTGTCAAAAACAAAACAAAATTTATATAATTTTACTATTGGCGGGTTTGTCGTTTTAGAAACGCTTTCATGTAAATTATTGCTATTACATTGAGGGGATTTTATAATAAAAAAAAACACTATTTGTGAAAATAAAATATTATATACAAAAAAAAAATATGTGTTAAAAATAATAATCTATAAACTTAAATATTATTATAAATTGTAGAAAAAATATTTATTATATAAAGAATACAAGTGATTGTTCTATTTTAATATTTGTTTCTATTTTTTGTTTCTGTTTGTTTGTTGTAGATATAATAAAAAAATTTAACTATTGCTATGCCTCTTTTTTGCTTGTTTTGTAAACAATTTTCGTTTTGTTATTGTTATAAAATAGTTAACAATATTTGTATTTTGTTGTTGTATTTGTATATAATATGTTTAGTTAAAAAAATAAACCAATTATTGCATTTATGTTGTTACAGTTGTTGTTGTTGTTTTATGTTCTTAAAAATGAAACTAAATAAACAATTGTATTTTATACTATTGTAAATTTTTGCTATTTTTTTGTATATATCATCTATGATATATACAATAGGTTTTGTATGTATTTTGTTTATATATAAGGCTATTTTTAATAGTTGTTTGTTTTGATATTCGCTATATAAATTATAAAAGAAAAAACTAAATAAACGGCAGAATAGTTCATGTTATGATGGAAAGGAAGGTATGTCTTTCCATCTCAACAATTTCCGGCTGGTTGTTATGTATGTGCTTGCATGTGATTTTTTTTCTTTTTGTTTATATAAAATTAAATATAATTTCTATATATCGCCATCAATTGGTAATGTTTGTTTGTATGTGTGTGATAGTATTTAATACTTATTTGTTTTTAAGTTCTTTTTTTCTATTGTTTTCATTTTTTTTATTTTTTATAATTAAAGTTGTTTTGTTTTTATTGTGAAACCAAGATTTTGATTTGTTTTGTTTTTTTTGTCAATTTATTTTTATGAAAAGAAAACTCTCAACTGTGATGTGTTTTTTGTTTGTTTTTTTCTTCCATTTTTCTTGATTAGAAAATATTAATATTTTATTTTTCCAAAATTTTGTATTCTTTTTGTTTCTACTGATTCTTAGACAAAAATAATAATCCAGCACCCAAAAATTAAAATAAATTAGAAGTTTATATTAAAAAGGATTTTCTAAACTAAAATTATCAATAAAAAAGTTAATTATGCTGCTATTTTCTGATGATTTGGAAATGTCAAATATTTATCCTGACCAATGGGCAATTGATGTTTAAAATAATACGATTAATCTATAGCGATATTTTAATCAAGTGTTTACAAAGGACACAACACTATGTCCAAGTATTAATTTTCCAAAAACAGGGCTGTATTCTTGCAAGTGTCTACCTAAGTCCTGATTTATACTAGGCGAGTTTACTCGCGGCAATTTTTATCGTTCTCTTTTGAACTTGCTCCATGCGTCTATACAAGGCAATTCGGTTTCCAAAAATTTTGTTTATTTGTTGTTTTTTCTCATTTAAATATATATAAAATGTCAACAAATACGAAATACACAAAACGAATTGCCAGAAAATTGTCGGTACGAGCAATTTTTTTTCATTTCTATACCCCTTGCCCCTCTCTCCTACAAACAAAGACTTGCCGCAAGTAAACTCGCCTAATCTAAATTGAGACTAAAAATGTGTTGTGTAAACTCGACGTAAATGAACTCTGTTTACCTTTGGTCTGTTCTCGTACTACAAGAATCTACGAGTTTTTATTATTTTTTCGATAACATAAAGGAAAAAAGTGTTATCGTAGTAAAAATAGTAGATTCTTGCAGTACGGGAACAGACCACTTATTAATACGCATGGCCTATAAATAAGGTCATCCAGGGAGATATCAGCTGCCTCTTAGGTCTGCTGTCAAAATCCATTATTGTGAACTGACTTCCATTATGAAAACGTAAACAAAAGCCATTTTTTTACATTAGACTTGAGAAAAAACAGCTGACTGATCTTGCCAGATTGTAACCAAAACCCGCCATTCTGATTGAAATTCTCTCATAAGGGCTAAGCAGAATGGTCGCGTTGTGTTATGATACGTGTCGTAATGTTACTCGCGTTAGATTTTGTTAACCCACATAAAGAGCGTGATTTACCAAACATATGATGGGCAAATGTTTGGCTTATCCACAACATCAACCATGAATTTTCCTTGATTTTTTTGTACTTCGGTAGGATTTCATTATTTTATCGTAAAGGCAAGGATATTGCTCCACGCAATTTGAACATCACGAGTTATTTCTCTTTTTATTTTTTTATTTGAGTTTTTGCCTGAGTTTTATTAATATTGCCCGAATAATTGCAGAGTGCAATTGACGCTATTTTTTTGTACACCGAAATGTCAAATTTTCCATATAATATTTCCCACGGTTGGCAACATTGCACTTCGAATTCAAGCAGAAATTATGCAATTTGACAGTTAATCAAGACATCAGCTGAGCTAAATGGACTACCTATTTATTGTGTCATGGGTAGATCCATGATGCAATAATAAGTTGATGTATCACAACAAAAACATTTGTTTTGGTTTCGACCATGGCACAATAATAGGTGGTCCATTTATATTTCACATGGTTGGCAACATTGCACATCGAATTGAACAAGGTAGATATGCAAGGTAGCCGCATCGGCAAATTTCTACAACAAACATCGGCTGTTGTATTTTGATATGTCAAAAATATTTTGCCAAAACAAGCAGATTGACAAGATTTTTTTTACACAAATTCTTGTAGAAAATGTTAATAAAAGTATTGCCAAACAAGCTCTCCGAAATCCGGAGATTTTCATTTATAATTTGGTTTTTTAATGTTTTGGTTCAACATTACAACATTTTTGACATTTATTTGCACCAATTTTGTAACAAGCGTACTTTTTGTAAATAGGTACCTTGGAATTGAATAAAATGTACCAAAACAAAAATTGACAGTTTTTTAATCGTGAATACAGCTACGCTTAAATTATAACATATATTATTTATGCAAATAACTTGAGCTTATAAATATTGACATTGATTTAAATTTCATTTGAAGTAGAATTTTAAAACCTCAGCTTACCTGTGATGTTTTCCAACACAAAAATTAACCGCTGATTTACAAGCCAGAAGACATTTTTTCATAATTTTGTTTTTAAACAAATAGCAAATCCATCAGAAAACACATGTTTTTTGTTGATAGTTATTGAACACAGATCGTACACACATTCGCTCGAAATTGGGCACACCATTTTGGAAAAAATGAGAATCTAAAAAAGGAAGGGAGTTCAAAACTGCTCAAAACATGTCACATGGGCTTATTACTGAATGGGACTATTACTGAATTTGATAGAATTTTCCAAAAATGTTCCTGATACTTTATAAATCTCTTATGCCCTTGTTGCAAATCCCTTTACATTGGTCAGGATAATTTTATTTTTCTTTCCAGCGATCTTTAAATATATCTAAGCAGCATATTTTTGATCTCAATAAATAATTATTATGTTTAATTACTAACCGAAACAAAAAATGTAAAGTGAAATATTAGTAAAAACCTAAGAATTTAATATAATAATTTTTTAAATATATGAAAATAATACCCATAATTTGTTCCCACATCAACTACTCGCAAAAAAATCATATCAAATGTGCCCAAGAAAATTAAACCAAAAAAAAGCTAAAAGGTCAAAGAAAGCCTTTTGGACTTTTGTTAATTGCCTAAAACTCACTTTCAATTCAATTTCACAAAACAAATCGTTGAACTTAAAAACTAAACATTAATATATACGAGTTATTAAAATAATGTATGTATGTGTGTATATAAACATTTGTTGTAATAATTATAGTAATTTAAGATACCTGTAAATACGCCTCAATATTTGAACAAAATTGGTAGTTTCATGTTTTCTTTCTCCTTCATTCGTGACAGAACATTTTCTGGTGTTTAAGAGTAGTTTGTTTCTATTGCAAAATAGTGTTTCTTATTTGTATGTATAATTAATGTATGTATGTAGGTTTGTTTGTATGTTGTTTTGTAGATACCAAAGTTCTTACGTATTATTCTAGAATCCTTGTTTCCATTTCTGTTGAGATGTTGCTTTGATGTTCTCCACACAATCTTTGATAATTTTGATGTGAATGATGCTGTTGGCCGGTGGCTGGTTTCAAAATACCAAATACCTAACGGCGAAGGAGTCGTCTCCTTCGCACCTCATCTCAGCGTGGAGCATTGTGTATGTGTGTTGTCAAATGTTTCGATAGATAATCAGCTCTGGCAAAACATTTGCCACACGATTCACAGTGATAAGGCCTCTCACCAGTATGAATTCGAAGGTGACGTGTTAGATCGGATTTGCCACCGAAGGCACGACCACAAAATAGACAAACAAATGGCCTTTCGCCAGTGTGTTTGCGTACATGTAATTTAAGATTTTCCTTGGAACGCACACATTTACCGCAGAAGGGACAGGCGAAACGTGATGCCGGTGGTCTGCTTTATTGTTGGGAGGAGAACAACATATCAGTAAGTGTTAACCAATAAAATTAGCGGAATATCACTACTTACCTTTTGTCACGCTGCCTTTCTTGGGCATCCACTCGTAGGAAATTTAATATGGATGCTTCCTGGGGATTTAAGCCCAAAAACTGTTCATTGGGCAATCGCTCAGCATTGATGAGAGACGTTATCGAATTGAGAGAATTTAAGGAATTCATTGAATTTGCAGCAGCGGCTGCAGCTGCCACAGCCGCTTGTTGAGCTGTTTGAGGCGTAATTTGTTGCTGATGTTGAGGTGTTGTGGCTGCAGCAGCTGCTGCTGCCGCCATAGCTGACATATTATGAGCCAAATGGCCAGGCAGTTGAGAGTTAAGATGTGGATGGTGATGATGGGCCGGCAAATGGTGTTGTGAGTGATGTTGTGAGGTTGGAATCGAAGAAAGTTGATGCGATATATGATGATAGGAGGGATCTGTTTCCATGTGGGATGGTGGTGGAGCATTAAGAAGGCGTTGTTGCTGTTGGAGTGACATATGCAGAGACCCATATTAAAATATCGATCAATAAATATCTATGTATATTAAAAAACTTACCCTCTTATTTGTACTATGTATTCCATCAGAGCATTCAATATTCGGCTCATTCGTATTGGTCTGTATCTGGACTCTTCCCAAGTCATTACCATCATCCTGGTCACCATCATGTCTTTGTTGGTGGTGCTGTGACATCTGCTGCAGTTGTTGCTGATGCTGCTGTTGTTGAGAATCGTCATCCTCTCGTTCCTTCTTAATATTAATACGCAAATCTTCGACCACATCTACTTCGGGAGCCATTACTCCCATAGACTGGGATTCCTGGCCGCTGGCAATCATTTCCTGTTCCTGGATTTGTTGTTGCAAATGTATGGCAAACGGATGTTTACCCTTCTTGCCATGCAACCGCTCCAAGGCATGATTCAAACGATGTTTCTTGAAGGACTTCAAATAGCGAAACTGCATGCCACAGACATCGCAGGTGAATAGTTTGTCAGCGGGTAGACGCGAACGATGATTGGTTTCTTTGTGTTTGGCATAAGCTGAACGATATCGATAGGATTGACCACATTGTTCACAAATAAAAGGTTTTTCCTCACCTGGTCCCAATAGGGGATGCTGCAGGGCGGCATGCTGCTCCAATAGCCAAACATTGGGGAAATGCGCATTGCACACTACACAACGGGTCTCCTCTTCGATGGGCTCGCTGAACAGCGATGAGGTATCCGAGGGGCTTTTCAGCATACTACTACGGCTAAGTGAAAGTTGACCTGGCGTTCCAGGAGCTGGTGGTGGTGTAGATGAGGTAGATGAAGAGGAGCTTTTCTCCTTGCAACTTGAGGTATCCGTTGGAGTGCTTGAGTTCAATAACATTTGCGAATAGGTCTTCAGACCGGCTTCAGCGGCCAGTGTTGGGCCGGAATGACGACGTTGCAGTAATTGCTCTAAGGAATCCTTATAAATCATCGATGAGGTAATGGAGCTCGTGGTGGCTGCACTCGAATTGCCACTGTCACGATCCCGTATAGCTGCTGCCTCATCGTGATGGATGGTTGTCATCTCAATTGGGGCATCGCTGTCATTGTTGTCGTCCTTGTTGGGGTGGCAGGGTGTCACAGACCGTTCGGAGATTTTGTGTAGAGGACCACTGGCATTCGATTGATGGGGAGATGGTGTATTCTGTCTACTTAGTTTGATTAGCTTCTGTGGCTGTAATTGTTGCGATAGATGGCTATGTGATGACTGCTGCTGCTGTTGTTGTTGGTGCTGATGATGGAAAAATGCACTAGGCGACGGATAACGTATATTGAAAGGTGGTTGTTGTTTGTACTGCTGTTGCTGTGGTATGGAACGGTGTTGTTGTTGTTGTTTGCTAACCAAATCATTTGGCCCCACCCCAACCAAATTAGAGGGGGTAGATGATGAGGATCTAGTTAGTAGATCGGCAGTGTTCAAATGATGCATATGATTTGGATGATAATCTTTGGAAAGTAAATCGCTTAAAGGATTATAACGGTGGGAGAAATCCTTTGAAGTAGTTGGTGGTGGTGTAAGTAAACCGCGATTTCTAAAGAAAGAAAAATGAAATAAAAAACAAATTTTCAAAAAAATAATTGCAGCCACTGTCCATCTCAGATCATACTCACCTTAAAGCCTCTTCTGCTAGCCATGTTTGATGGTGTAACATTGTCAAAATTCTGGACGGATCAATATCGAATAAACTCAAACCCAACGGTGTAAAGGGGAAAGCAAATGGTGTTGGGCATCTGGTGGCCATACCGAAATTACGCAAAAGCTGTGAAAGATAAAAAGGAATAGAAAGAAAACATACAAATTTAATAAATGAATTTAAAATCGAACAAATGTCTAGAATTATGGGGAGGGTCTGTCTATATATGTAAAATAATAGCCAATAATTGAATAATTAACAAATAAACATGCAACTAATTAATTTACACACAGAAACACAACATTTAAAACAACACAAATTAATTACGGGATACAATTTTTCGATAGCTATGACTAAAAAAACTTAAAAATATACAATTTTTTCTAATTTCATGTTTGATTTTGTATTTTTGTGGGGGGGTAAATCTTATTTAAGGCTTACCATAATATCCTATGCCCACAGACAGGGCAAGATTTTCTTTTAAAAATGTACGTTAACAATTGTTTGTTTCAAAAAAGTTAAATAGTAAATGTGTGTTAATAGATTTTTCTTTAAGCATAATATTTATTTTGAAGATATACTAAAAAAATTAAATAATAAAAAAATATTGCGGAGATATGAACTTATATCAAAAATGATTAATTTTAAAATCAAAATGTTTTAAAATGATTTGCAAATATGAAAAAATATTTACAAAAGGTTATTTTCTAAAATAATTTTATTTTTTTAATATGTATTTAAATTCAAATATAAAAGTATATATTTCAGATATTTTAAGTGTCAAAATCTCGCTTCTTCTGAAGCAACCAAACTTCTCTTCAGAATATGAATGCCGAACAATAAACAATAATCAATTTTTGTTCTCAATAAAATGACGTACAACGGATATACATAAGAAATTCAAGATTAATTTATTCAAGTTAGTTCGATGAATTAATAATATTATCGACTTTAAGTTGACATATGGCTTCCACATTTTCAAGTTTCAATTGAAATTTTCGCGGCCATTGAAGTGAGTTAGAGTAATAGCCAATGGGAATGAGTAATGAAAGCTCCAGAATGCTAGACAACTTTAAATGTTACCAAAACTGAATTAATTTTTGTTCTCAATAACGTGTTAAATATTAACGTCATTAAGTTGCGGCGGAAAATCCTTCTACTTGAAAATATATTCCACACTATATTAGGAACGCAGTCAAAACTGCACTCTCTATTCGGCCATATACATATTGCCTAAATTATAAAATGTCCTGATTTTATAATCAATAAATATAAAATATTTTATAAATAAAACTACATAAATATTTATTTGCTTTTTTATATTTTAATATTTATTGGTTTTCAAAATGTTGTTTTTTTTGTAATTTTGGTATTTTCTTTTATTTTTTTTTCATTCAATATATGTTTTTGTTTCATGTTTATAACTATATATTTTTGGTTTATGCAAAAAATAAAATATATGTGTAGAAAAAAACGTAACACGTTTTCTTTACAATAAAAATCAGTTTCATTACTTCTGGTTGATGTTGTTTTGGTTTTTCATTTTTGTTTTTTTTTTTTATAATTTAGTAAATTGTTTTTTCCTTCTTTAGCTTCATCGATACGGCGCATTTGTTTTTTTTTTCTTTTTGTTTATTAAAGGTAATTATTTGTTTTCATATATAATATGTGTATATGTATGTATAGATTTTTTTCTTCATCTTCTTGTTGTCCATAATTCTGAGGTTTCTTTTTTGCTTTTTTTCATCATCTAAATATGTTTAGGTGTTTTTTTGTTTGTTCATTATTTTATATTTAAGTAGCGTCTCATCTAAAATTGCAACCTTGATCCTTATAATTTCTTTGTTTATTATTAGTTATTTCTTGTCAAATTACTATTTTTGCTGGAAAAATCATAGAAATTTAGTTTGTGGTACAATGAATAAATGTGTATGTTGTGGTTTCCTTTTTTTATTTTTTGTTTTTAAATTTCATAATTTACAGCTATGATATGCATTTTTTGTAAATTTTTTCCACTTTTTTCCGTTGAGTTTGGTTTTAAAATTTCATTTAAAAGAATGAGGATAATTTTTGTTGTTGTTATTGGCTCCTAATAGGCTCTGTTCTAAAATATGTGTGTATAGCTCGGTATATCTTTTGTATGGCTGTAATATTTGATAATGATTACTAAATGCGTTTGTTTTTAAAGAGGTGTCCAAATATTTGGTTCTTCTAAATATATATTTTGTTTCAAGAAATTAATATAATGTACGCTTTTATTGGTTTTTTTTTTATGTTATGGTGATGACAAATTGTACCATTTTTTATAAATAAACACGTCGACACAAATTTTTTAGGTATAGCACACAGACTCGAAGCCCAGAATTGAAATTGAAATAGGTTCAAAAAATTGTTTTTATTCAGTTGAGTTAAAAAGGACCATAAAAACGTTCGTGGAAACTAAAACTTTAATCAATTTTTGTTCTCAATAAAATATCGGAAAGCTGTTAAAAAAATCAAGATCAAAATTGCCCAAAAGTTTGGGAACTTATAATCCGTTCTCCACATAGTAAATGTACATATATTGTTTATTTGATTTAAGAGAAAAAAATCAGATGCGATGCAACTTTTTAAGTACTTTCCAAATTATTTAATCCGTTTGGAAATCCCAAACTTTACCCTCCACATGATTTTCGATTCTTGTGTCGAAAATTCTAGAGTTGCTCAATCTAGTTCCTTAAGCGGTTCGAACTATTTCGGTCTGCTCCGCAAAAGGAACTTTGTCGTTCCTTTAGTTCCTTTTAGTTCACTCCTTCATACTTCTTTTTTTTGCTTGAATGATCTACACGGAATATTTCATTCGTTAATAAAAGAGACAACTAATGTAACTTTAGTTGAACTGAATCACATAAGAGTTGGTGAAACGAAATAAGTAACGGGAGCAAAACGAACTGGAAAAACAAGAGCAAAAAAAGAATGGTATAGTAGAAGGCCCTATGTGAACAAGAGCAAAAAGGAACGACTGCAGCAAAAGGAACTAGGTGAACGAAAGATCCGGAACTAGTTCCGATCGCTCCATGTTCAGAATAGTTCCTTTGAACTAGTTGGTTCCAGAACGATACAACTCTAGAAAATTCTTAGGAGTCAAAATTATCATTTTCATATATTGGGGTATAATTTTTCAGAATGCTCGCAATAAGATGCTGGCTATTATTTCCAAAAATCAAACTTCTGTTCATACTAATACATTATAAAGGCATATTTATGTTGCAATTTACATATTTCGGCGATTAAAAAAGTATAAACATAATTGATTTTTGTTCTCAATAAAATAGTTGAAATATATGTTGTAAACTCTGTGCAAAATAATTCTGAATGAGAAATATACAATAAATTTTTAGTTACATATATATTTTTAGATTAATGAGGAGTTTTTAAGGTCCTAAACCAATTCAAATTCCGATTGCTGTAATCAATATCTAAGAATGACATAGTAGAAAGCCCTATGTGGGCGAGAGCAAAGAGGAACGACTGGAGCAAAAGGAACTAGGTGAACGAAAGATTCTAAGGAGTCAAAGTTGTATTATCATTTACTTATATTAGAATATTATTTTTCGCAATAAAATGCTGGATATTATTACCAAAAATCGATGCTGCATTTTTCATTTTTCGGCGATTGAAACATAATCGATCAATAAAATATAAAATGGTTGAAATATATGTTGAAAATGTTGTGCAAAATAATTCTTAATAAGAAATATACAATTAATTTTGATTTTCATAAATGTGTATTTTTAGGTTAATGAGGAGTTTTTAAGGTCCTAAACCAATTCAAATTCCAATTGTGCTAATCCATATCTAAGACAATCGAATTAAAGCGTTAACGAGTTGTATGCTATACCCTCGTCTATATAGTTCATGTGCTAATATAAAATGGTATAGTAAAAACCATAATTCTGTTGGCGTAAATTTAACCTTCCGAAATGTTGCCTTTAAAATAAAAAAGTAAATGTGTATGTATTTTTTTTAAATAAAATCTTTATTAATAATTTAAAATTAATAATAAAAAAACTAAATATGATTATGATAGTAATAATAATAATAATGGGAACTTAAAATTTCATTTTGTAATAATAATAAAAAATATATATAATAAAAATAATGTTAAGCCCTTAAAAGTATTTATAAATGAATATATGAAATTAATGTAAAAAATATATCGAACTGAAAAACTAATGAATTGACAATGAATGAGTTAATTATTAATGTAAATGTGTATATGATCAATGCAATATATTGTGGGTTTCTATTAGTTCCAGCTTAATATTTTTTATTGTTTAGTATGTGTAAGTACATCTTCTTAATGTTAATGTCTTTTTTTTTTGTTATTGTTGTTAAACAATTTTTAAAAACATATGTTTTGTTTTTTTTATTTTCCTTAATATGTAATACTTTTATAAAACTAAGTTCATTTATTATGATAATTTTGGTTCTTTTGTTTTAATGTTTATTTGTTTGTTGTTGTAATTTTTTTTCATATAAACATAACGTATATTTGTGTTTGTTGTTTTTTCGAGTGTCTTTTTTAAACTTTTGTTGTTTATTTTGTATGTAATCATCAATCTTCATGTGTCTTAAGTATATGTAATTATTATTAAAAATATATATTTTATTGTAGGAACATATTGACGTAATTATAACGTATTGCAGCTATTTTTGTTTTTGTTTCTTATAAAAATGGTAGAAAAAAACTAATAAAAATTAAGAAAGTCCATAAAATGTAGTAGAAATGGAATGTAATAATACTAATGAAAAAAAAAGAATTAAAAAAGAAATACAAATATGGTGGCATTGTTTGTGGCCTAATTGAACAGTAGGGACCATCATAGCATATGGCAATACTGTTAGTCTCTCTTTATTCGGTAACATTTTTGCACGCATCATTAAGACACGGAAACCAGCCACAACAAATACCAATCAATTTTTGTTCTCAAAAAATTTTTCTTAATATATTAAATTACTAAGAAAACATAAAAAAAGTATTTTTTATAAAGAATATATATGTGAAATAGTTAAATTATTATAATGGGATATAGTAAATTATTTGTTTTTGTTTCTCATGATGATGAAATTATAAAAAAA